AACGGAGCCGGCCCACACTCCTTCACAGGCAAACACAAGCACGCTGTATTTGGGGAATCAAGCGCACACAAGGCGGCGGCTGGACCGTAGTCCGCTCCACACTGAGTGCATGGAACCACTCTTTGATTCTAACACGGCCACAAGGACCGTGCACCCTGTCCCCTCCAGCAACAACCAACTGTCTCCTGGAGCCAGTATGGACGAGGTAGCGGGTAATAGACAGGTAGGCACCTTGTCATTATGCACATCAAGCGCAGCCACACCGGGGATATCAAACAACAGCCAAACACTTGAGAGAGATAGAAAGAAAATAACTCGATTGATGCATAAGGAAACGGTGACATAAACCTTAAGTTAATGAGCATATGAAATAAGTTGTATACAAATGAATCCTAGATAAGTTCACGAGATCAGAAAGTATGCTTTACGGAAATGCCACGAACACAAAAATGTTATGCAAATCGAATACAATTGGCTTAAGCGAAGTGTGCAAGTTAATGGAATAGAGTACAGGTAGACATTTATATGAGAAAGAAAAGCATTAAGGCAAAATTGAAAACCCACCACCTGAAATAAAGAGACTTAGCGTGCAAGCACGCGGTTAGTAAAAGAAGCATGCAGCGTATCTACAGACGCTGCGCCGGTTTTGAATACTTCTCTGCAGGACCCGTCGTCGCTTCGGTACTGGTCCCGAGTGGCCTCGCTCATGGCTCACTAAGGCTGCCTGACTAAGGCACTCGCGACCGCATGTTCTACAGCACCATGCGCTTGATGTCGATGGAGTACATTTCATCATTGCTTGCCGCTTCCGCACTTGCCGCTCCTTCTCTGCATACATGAGGTCTTTCTCTTGTACCTCGGCAACTGCCTTCGTGATTAGATCGCGCCATGCACGCCGATCAACCGCCTTCGATTCCCATGATCTGCAATCAAGGTTAGAACGTGTGAGGCTCACTTTAATCATGTCCTGGTAACGTAACTTTGGTTTCCCCACGTGCCGCTTCCCAATACTCAGCTGACCGTATAAGAGTTGTTTCGGTATCCACGTCGAATCCATACGGCTCACATGTCCGAGCCATCTCAGGTGTCTCAATAAAAGTATGCAGTCCACTGCATACATCCCACTTCGGCGTAAAACTTCCGTGTCTGCAACTCTGTCGCCCCAGCTGATCCGCAAAATTCGTTGCAGACACTGCTGATGGAACCGCTCGAGATATCGCATATCCCGACGGTACATCGTCCACGTTTCACTGCCGTATAGAAGAACGGACAGTACCATGGATTTGTACACCATCAGCTTCGTGCCGATGGTAAGCTGATGGTTGTTCCACACTCGGTACTCAAGCTTCCCGAATGCTGCCGCTGCCTTCGACACGCGAATACGCAGCTCAACGTGTAGCTGCTGATCAGTCGACATCACACTCCCAAGATAGCTGAAACGGGAGGTGGTTTCCAATACTTCAGCACCAATGCTGATTCGCGGCAATATTGAAGATTGCACCTCCGGTGAAGGCTGAAAGAGACAGACAGTTTTGCTTGTGTTTATGGTGAGCCCGAATTTGGCCGCTGTCGAAGCCAGAGCACTAGTCATGTGCTGCAACTCATCTGCGCTGTGTGAAAACAACGCACAGTCGTCAGCAAACAGAAACATAAGGATAGTTGTCTCACAAACCATAGTTCTCGCACCGAAACGACGGATGTTCAGCAACCCACCATCAATACGGTGCTACACACGAACACCGTAAGCACAAGCGGCATCAAAAGCACAAGACAACATTGCATGAAGATATATATTAAACAGGGCAGGAGCTAAGACACAGCCTTGCTTCACACCAGAGACAACTGCAAAGTCATCCGAGGTCTCTCCACTCAGCTGCACCCGCGCTCGCATACCACTGTGCAGACATTCAATTAAACTTACAAACTTACGCGGGCAACCAAACTTACCCAACACCAGCCACAATGCCTCGCGGTTCACCGTATCAAATGCTTTGGTGAAGTCAACAATAAGCGAGTACAATGGCTGGTGTCGTTCTCTGCACTTCTCTTGCAACTGACGAGCCGCAAACACCATATCTATAGTGCTGCGACCCGAACGGAATCCACACTGCTCCTCCGCCACGTTAGGTTCCACAACCTGACTGACGAGGCGGTTGAGCAGGATTCGGGCAATCACCTTGCCCACACAAGTCAGCAAGTTGATGCCACGATAATTCGTGCAACATTGCTTGCTACCTTTGCCCTTGTACAGTGGTAGCACAAGGGCATCCTTCAGCTCAGGAGGCACCTCCTCCTCAATGCACACGCGTTGCACCAAGTGGTGCAGCGCAGTCAACAACGCGGGTCCGCCGTGTTTCAATACTTCAGGCGGGATCCCGTCGGCACCGGCACACTTGTCGTTTCGCAGCTGAGCAAGTGCTCTCTGCGTCCCATCCAGTGTCGGCGTATCCGCCAGATTCGCCTTCACATCGTGCTGCTTCAGGCCGTTCAATGTAGGCCAGTCGATCTCTGAACGGTTGTTCAAGAGACAGTCAAAGTGTCTCCGCCAGATCTGCATTATATCTGCAGTTTATGTTCAGGCAGCGCCTGAACTACCATCGATCAGTGTCCTCAGCTGCTCCAATCTCGGTCCATACACCGCCTTCAAGGAGTCAAAGAATTCCTTGTGTTGACGGCGTTCGGCATAGCATTCCATCTGCTTCGCCTTCTCCGTCCACCATGCATTTTAATGCGACGGAGCTCTCGGGTCAGTCGCCGTCGAAGTTTGCGAAACTGACTACTCTTCCCCTAGTCACTGGGGTCTGCCACATGTGCAGCAAATACCGCATTCTTCTCCGACACCAATGCGCGGATCGTCGCATTGTTGTCATCAAACCAATCAGGCCGTTTACAGTTTGCGCGCCCGATGGTCTCCTCGGCAGCAGCTGTCACCTGGTCGCGAATGTGGTGCCACAGGTCGCCCACTGTGGCTATGCAGTCCACATCACACAGGCGTGCAGCCATCGCCTTCTCCAGCTCAGTACGTTTCGCCACAGTACCGAGGGAGAGAATGTTAAATTTACGCCGATTCACGGCGGGAGTGCAATATATAGATTTACGAAAGTATATGTACAGTTTGGTCCGCACGAATTTGTGGTCAGTGCCACACTCAGCTCCACGCAGTACACGTGTCATGCGCACTTCACGCATATCACGCTGACGTACGATGACATAGTCGAGCAGGTGAGCGTGACCACTCCGTCGGTGCGTCCAAATTGCTATATCACTCGCACTCAGTGCAAACCGAGTGTTCGTGATCGTCAGGCCGTGAGTGGCACACAGTGAGAGCAGCCTGTCACCGTTCGCATTCGCTGAACCAATGCCATGCGCACCGATAACATCTGTCCACGCTGATGCATCACGCCCAACGCGCGCGTTGAAATCACCCAGCAGAAATAGTCGGTCGCTCCTCGGCACAGACCGTATCACGGAGGATAGCTCAGTGTAGAACTGATCACGCGTGTCATCAGGATAACACGTGGTCGGACCGTACGTACTTATAAAAGTAGCAAACTTACCTCTTCCGAGTCGTAGGCGAACAGTCATGAGTCGCGCGCTGATTCCCGTTGGTTCACTCACCAGCTGGCCATGGAGGCGATCGGATATTGCAAATCCGACCCCATGTTCTCGTGGTGCTGAGGCGGCGTTGCCCACCCAGTAGAATGTGTAGCCAGCATCTGCTTCATGCAACTTACCTTGCTCAGCGAGCCGGGTTTCACTGAGCGCCGCAATATCGATGTGGTAGCGCGCCAGCTTCATCGCGACCAGTGCAGTGCGTCGTTCCGGGCGCTCGCTGGAGTTCCGGTCCAGTAGCGTGCGCACGTTCCAGCACCCGATGCTGAGTGCTTTGCGCGCAGGCATACGATTGCATTGGTGCGCAATCGCACGCGAGATGGTCGTTGTGCTTCGGAGGTTTGCTTGAGGGACTCCACCCGGAGCCTTTGGCTCAATAGCCTGACCCACAAGGCAGTGGGTGGTTTGGAGGTTTGCTTGAGGGACTCCGCCCGGAGCCTTTGACTCAATAGCCTGACCCACAAGGCAGTGGGGAGCAGATCCAGCTCGGGAATGTGATTGCAGAGACAGATGGGGATCTGTTTGACGGCCGTCACACGCAGCCTTTGGGGTACTGGAACAATTATTATATGTTTTGCGACCGTAATTGGATACGCACCTGCGACCACGGCCAGACGCAGGGAGAAGGGCGAAACCCAACTCCCACCCAGCGGTCGCCACGAGGAGGCGCCCAGGACATGAGACTACGGCGCAACAGTAGCAGCAGTGGGTAGACCATCTGTCAGGATCTAGCCACCACTAGCCTCAGTGCACCATAGGCTCTCCCGATAAATATATGTATATATAAAACCTAGACGACAGAATTGACAGACGCAGGGATAAAAAGGAACAATGACGCGGAGAAACCGAAACCAATTATAAAACCACAAGTACAGCAAACACCAAGAAAAACTTAATGGAACGAACTCACTGGGGTATTGGGTGGGACAAAAGACAATTAATCCGCCGACAAATGAATGTCGGTGAGAATCCAGATAGCAAATTCAAATTGCGACGAGAGCAGCATACAGGACGCTCAGTACTTGCTTTACTTTCTATGTGCAGGTAAGTAAAGCAACTCAAACGTCCTATTGATGGTAGGGAGTCCTAGTTTGCTTGCTGGTACAATAAATAGATCGCTAGTTAGGCGAGAGCCTATCTCGATAGAACCAGGCCGAGTTCAAGTTCGGGTCGGGACCGTCTGACAAAAGAATCTGTCTTGATGATAGCTATCAGATAATTGATGGAACAGAGCAAAGCTTCCACACTCATTCTATAAAGAATACCCTTCCAAGCCAAAAATTCCAAGAGGCGTTTGTCAGGCACACCCTTCATCCAGCTCCGACTCTTACTAGGTGGTTTGTATGAAATCATCCAGCCGCCTACGAAGTATCTGTTTTGCATTTCAGCCCCCTCGGTTATTACGGCCCCTGGACGCGGAATCCCTCGGAATCCTCGACTGAACAAATACTACAAATGGCGACTCCAGGTCGTGAATTGATTCAGCTTAACCCTTCCAGATCGGGCTCACAGGACTTCTCAAATTTACTCTCAGCAACATTTAAAAATGTCTGGAAACGCTTTTCAATCAATCCAGAGATTTCAACTTTTATCACAAATTCTGCTGATTCTGCGGGTAGTGAGCAACTGTCATATGTACTGGAAATTAAAGAGGTAAAAGATAATGCACCTCAAATCCATTCTACAAGATTAGCGGCAAATACAATCTTCATCTGGGTTGTTTGTCACGAGTGGAATCCGTTATCAATCATGCTACTGATTTGCTACTTTCAAAAGTCTGCAGATGGAATGTTGTGGACACCTGCCTTAATTCATCTAATGGGCAGTCAGCTAACAGTGAATGTTTACTCGAAACGCTGTGTGGAACTGTAACAGCTGGTTCCCTGAATAAGCTCTTCATTGCCAGCCAATTGTTATGCATAGACGATATATTTTTTAACGGACGCAAAATGACGGGTTAGTCCATTTTAAAGGAGTTTTTTCTTCTACTTTACTCATGAGTTTGAGTGCTTCCAACATTCCTTTGAAAGTATTGTTATACATTTTAATTCGACAGTATTATTTTGTTTAAACCTCAACGTCAAATGTCGCCACCTTAACGTTGATATTACCTGATATGTCAAGAATTAGGCTTAGCTGGTAAGACTGTATGGGTACCGCTTAAGAAAAGCAACTGCTAATAACTTTGTCGGTAAATATTAACTAAGAGTTTGTCACACGCCAAGGTGTTTGGTAAGCTAGCGATGGCTACGACGACGTTCGTGCACCAATCCACTTAGCGCAGCGCATTCGAACTGACAGCAACGCTGTGCAGGTGAGCGTGATTCGAGCTAGATGTAGCTTCGAACGCATGTACAAATATTCAAACAACTTTATTCTTCTATGCACAAATGAACACCTTAGATGTACTGGATACATGACAAAACTATTTTGTAAGACTCCCACTATCGCCTCTAACAGACGATAGACGTCGGGCCTACACTGAACGGCTTTGTCATGCGTGTAGGACTAGTAAATACTAGTCCGAGGCGGTGCGCGAAAGTACGCGCAGATATCAGAAGGCATTTGGAGTCGGACCCAGCTACAAGAAGACGCGGACGGGTGAAGCAAGACAGAAGGTACACGTTAGCGCGGGAACTTACAAGTCAAGTCCAGTCTCAAGCCAGTTGTAAGGAAGCTTAAAACAAGTAAGCATAATGTACACTTGGTCAACAATTAAATAGTACATAAAAGATAGCAGTTATCTTTTTTGGGCGCTGCAGAGCCCCCCTAGAAGGCTGAACATAGAAAGCCTTTGATATCGAAACTGACAGGTGAATCGAGGTTTTTAAGGCAAAATCGTGCCGAGTAAGCATGAGTGAGCGTTCGTGTCAAATGGGAGTTCGCCAGAAGTCGGAGTCCGCTGTGCCGTTTGTGATTGATTATTTACTGATTGCAGGGCAGGGTGCATTTCGGCGAACCCTTGGAGCGGGCTTGTCGGACTACGACAAACCGTCTTGGTCGTGCGCTTACTGGTTGACCGCGCGTGCCAATGTGGTGTGCGACCTCTGTCGTGATTGATGGAAGCTCTGCAACCGGTCGAACGAGTCGCGGGTATTCTGAGAGGAGGCTCAAGTAGTCGGACGGTGCGTCTGCGATCCGAAAAACGAGGCTAATTATCGGAGTGTCTGAAAGGACGCCACCAACACCTAGTTTAGTACGGTCGTCTAAAAGTCTGTGGTGACCAGCATCAACAAGCGACCCAAAATGTCGGAGGAAGTCGATACCGATAATTGCGAAGGATACAGACGCAACCATGAAGACCCACTGAAAATCTCGGCGAAGATTGAGGTCCAGGTTCATCATGTGCTGACCGAATGAAGCTATCGGAGAACCGTTGGCCGCACGCAGGTTGTACGTAGGCTTTGAGTGCTTGTCGTTCGCGTTCGCAGGGATGATGCTGACTTCCGATCCCATGTCGATGAGGAACATGATGGAAGTACGTCGATCCTTAACGTCAAACAAGCGATTTGTTGGCTTATTGACGGATACGTTGGTCGTGCTAGTATGCGGGCTAATCGCTTTCTCTGAAACGGCTGAGTCGTGCCTAATGCAAGAAGCCCGACAACGTCTATCTCTTCCACCATATTGGCAGTGATACCAACATACTTCTTCGACGGATTTGGTGTTATCTGACTGAGAACGTGCAGGAAAAATGTTGCGCTTTCGTGCCGAACGGGGCGTACTCGGTGCACGCACAGACGAGCCGCAATAAACGGTAGCCGAAAAGTGATCAGCATGTGACCGTGGCACACGCTGCTTCGAATTTTTCATTGCTGCTATCCTACTGCGAAATAGCGCAATTTCTTCGTCTTTAGGGTCAGGTCGGTCTGACGACTTGGAGCAATTATGAAACTCGGCTTTCATCAGTGAGAATACGTCACCGGAGCTACTGATCGTCTGCTTCGGAAGACGTTCGAACGCAGCGTCTCCCTTGGTAGCTAGTTCTTTCAGGGGTGCATCCAGAAACATGGACAGCATTACCGGCAATGGCTCTGGTAGTCGTGCAAATCACAGTTCCTTTATCCCTCCTTTGCTCAAGAATAAGGAACCAGCGATGCGCTGTATTTCGCGAAGCAACGCCGACGGCTTGCGATCTCCCAGCTTGAGACCATTGAGCTGTTCAAATCGAGCTCGTGCGCTGGGCTATAACTCTTTTAGAATCGCTTGCTTCATCGTTTCATACTTTGTCTCATTTGATGGACAGAGTAGAATGTCCTCAACCAGCGTCACAGCCGACGAAGGAAGGCGTGGAACGAGTTGATTGTACCTCGAACGCTCCGTCGTAGTGCCCTTAATTTCCAGTTCGATCTCGAATATCGTAAACTAAACCTCTTGGCTGTGTTCCATGAAACTTGGAACAGCCAAAGTAAGCATGTTTACGCTGCGAAACGACTCAGATGCCATATTTGAAATGTGAATCGAAAAAATAAAGGCTGAACAGAAACACGGTGAAAGTACTAAAATTACGCAAGAAGCAAATGAATGGACGTATATAATCGAGAAAAAAACACCAAAAATAGAAACGACGAAAAAGTTTAAATTTGCGCGTGCGAATCGGGGTCACCAATTTGTAGGACTAATAAATACTAGTCCGAGACGGTGCGCAAAAGTAAGCGCGGATATCAGAAGGTAATTGGAGTCGGACACAGCTGATTGTATTCGATGGGCTACAAGAAGACGCGGACGGATGAAGCAAGGCAGGAGGTACACTTTAGCGCGGGAACTTACAAGGCGGTCGAGTCTCGAGCCGATTGTAAGGAACATTAAAACAAGAAAGAATAATGTACAATCGGTCAACAATTAAATAATATGCATATTATTGTGCTTGAATTTTAATCGTGACTTCTACTTTCTACAAACTTTACCCTACTCACAAACTTCCAACATTAACAATTAAATAGTACATAAGAGATAGTAGTTTTCTTTTTGGGCGCTATAAGCCGGCTTATGGTGAGAAGGTGTATTTTTCCAAAGACAGGCATTCATTGATAAGGAAATAACTCATACCTTGAATAACCAGATAATGCTGCATCGGTAGAACGGGTTGTGAAGCTTGCAACATGTGCTGTAGCCGAATGTTTGATATCTGTTCTATGAAACACTCAAATGTCCGAGATTAAAACTAATCAAAGAGTGTTTACCTAACAGAATACAATGTGATGCAGGTTGCCTTGTCGAAGATTTACGCAAGCAACGAGTCTCATTTAATTAATTTAAGCCAAGATATATCAAAATTCATTGATTCCTTATTTATTTTGTTGGTCACGACCTGTAAAGCAGTCAAAACTTATACCAAGTGCGATAGCCAAATTAGCCATCCAGCTCGGTCTGGTACGTGTTAAATGAGAAATGTAACCATGCTGCTAAGTGTATGAACAGTTTTACTTTTCAAGCATAGTCTTAACATTTGGCCCAATATTCCACACCGATCATCGATGTGCTCCACTAAATAGTGACTTCTTGAAAATGTTGCGCAACCATCTTTTGTAATCCGGAGTTATTTTCAGGCCACATTATATCTATACTATATCCGTAAGATAGTGCGTTGTAAGTCAGCATTTTGTCTGTGCGGTGATCACGTTTCAGTTACACATATATTGTGTGATCATTTACACAATAGCTTACGGTTAAGCGTACTTCCGTGGTAAGTTCTATTGGTCATTGCTTGTTACACGCTATATGACTTCTACCTAATTTTAATGCCTTTCATCTAACGTTCGTCCACCGTGTTCGTTCCTATACGCAGCTGTGTTATCTAAAACCACATTAAGTTTAGGTCATACCAGGTAACACGAATTATGCTTTTTCGGCCTGCTCCTTGTCAGCGTGCAGGGCTTTCTGTCTTTTGCTCTCATGTCGACACTCTTTGCTCGGTTGCTCTGCCGGCATTATAATCTTTGTCCTAGACGTGGACTTGTCAGCCCGGGTTTACTGTTTGTTCTGCGCTATCCTGGCCAGTTCACTTCCTTTTTTCTGCACTTGGTTCATGATAAGCCAAATCAGTTCTACCTTGTACCTCCGACTGTTGCAACTCTTGGTGGAGCTTCATTAACTTCCTATCCGCTGCTACCGCGTTAGTTCTCTAGCCAAACTATCAGTCACCATCCCAATATCTGTGTCTATTAACCACCATAAACAAATAAAACCTACATATTAGTACGTCTAGTATGAAGAGTATTTGCACCGAGCGACGTCGACTAAGGGTTGCGTACATCGTGATCATGGTTGTTTGGTATTAGTGGTAAAACTGAACAGTTGATGACATTTGAGTAGTATTTGCATGTGAGCCAGGGCCGGAGGCTAAAATGTGTGAAACATGTGGATGAAAAACATTGCTATCTATTGTGGATACTGTCACAGCTCTGGCAGGGTTGATGACGTCTTGTGGCTGTTTACAACAGCTAAACAGACTCGGTCGTTCTGATTGACTTCGTTCGTTTTACAATTGATTTATTGTCCTGTTAATATCAGAAGCGCTTCCATAATGCAAACACATGAACTTTTACTGGTCCATTTCAGCAGCTTACCAGCCAGACAGTCTAACCACCACGCTCAAGCTAGTGGGGATCGTGGTGTTTGGGGACCGATATAGTTGCGTTTGATTTTCTTCGCAACGTCCTGCAAAACATAAGCTCCTCTGGTGTGTGGTCGGTCGCATTGTGTTTAAACAGAGCCTGAATTACTGCATCTTTCCATTGCATGCCGGACAAATACGCCACTTGTTTACTTTCCTTTGGCGAGCAATTTGCGCGCTCAATCATGCCGTTGGCAGCTGGATTGTACAGAACCATTCGAACGTATTTCACATGGAAAAGTTGTAGAAACGGATGGAATTCGTGGACTGTAAATTCTTCCAGTTATCCCTCACAGTTTCTTCGCAGAGTCCAAATCTAGCAACCCGATACTTCAACCAC